AGTACGCAACTTGCACAAAACCTACAGGTTTCTTTTCGATTAATCAAAGTCTAAGTTTTTACAACAAAAATAGAAGGTTATTTATAGCCAAGAAAACCTAATACAAACCTAAATAAACAAGGAAACAATTAAAGGTAAAGTCTACACTAAAAAGGACACAAAATTCGGGCAGAATTCCCTTTTCTTCAAGCACAAGCAACCTGCCTTTTAGCACAAGCAAACTGCCAGAAAAAACAGTTTTCGTACGAACTTCATGCCATTCGTTCGAGGCCTTCCAGAACTCCAATCTTTCATCCAATTCCTTCCTTTGGTAGACAATCATACCTATTTTCATGTTGTGGAAGCCTTTGGACTTGAATCACATCCATGCTTCTCAATTGAGTTCCAAACTAGGCTTCACAAAACAGTTTTATGCCTTGGCCATTTTCAGACAGTTTTTAGCTTTCCAGTTAGCCATTGGGCGTTTTTTGAAATTTTTAGGGCAAAACCAGCGGCCCAAACCAACTCTCCAGCCCCCACCTTATCTTCTTCTTCTTCTTCTTCTTCTTCTTCTTCTTCTTCTTTTTCTTCTCCTCCTGCTCGTGCCTCTCCTACTCGCTCTTCTTTCTCACACCCACATCCTCCTTCTCGCCCAGCGCCCACGCCGCCGGCTCAAGCCTACCCGCCAGAGACAAAGGCGACCCCACTGGAGACAGAGGCGGCACCGTCGCAGCCCTAGACAGACACGTCCCAAACCCAAACGGTCGCGCCTCTTCAGAGTTAGCCGAGAAATGTCCGACAACGACGAGGAACCAGTAGCCAGCAGAGCAAGGTGGGGAGGGCAGTGAGGTCATGGCGGCGTCTGGTTCCGTGGTGAGGATCTCGCCGCCGACGACCGGATTCTTGACGGCGGTGAGATTTTTTTTAATTGAGTTTTTCTTTATATGTTTTGATAATTTTTTTTTGTTTTTTTCCAGTTCCTAGACTTATGGACAGTTATTACATGAAACCACCGTCTATGATAATTGATCCTGCTTCGGTCGATTCGGAACTTCTTTGGGCACATGGTCAACATCGTGTCCACTCTGTTTGGGCAAATGAAGTAAGTCTTTCATAACAACTACTTTTTTAAAGTTAACTAGCTAGTTAGATTAGACTATTATATGTTTTAACTAGGTGAACTGAAGTTAGAATAGAATTACGTTTGAAATTTTTTGAAATTTGTATAAGTTTAGAGATTAGATTAGATAGATTTTTCTAGGTGAAATTAGAATAACGCATGGAATTGAATTAATATAAGTTTGTTGTGTGCATTATAGGATGGTGATCGACCTTACCATGTTCGAGGTACGACCAATTTAGTAGCGTACCATGAATGTTATCTGACGTATCTCTTAGAGGCGGGCTTGTCTAGTGTTTTGCCCCTGTTTCCTATGATCGTCGTAGTAGACATACCAGATGAGGGGTGGTCGGAGATCTGTGTGAGACTGTTAGGACGGGTTCCTGATGATCTTTCCTGCGGTGTCGTTAGGATTGGTTGGCTGAGGGATGAATTCAGTCATCTCCCCGCAAATGCATCACATGAGACTACAGAGCAGTTTGAACGTGACTTATGTACCATGTCCAACTATCGGTATTCTCACTCTCCACTATGGAAAATGCAATTGGAAAAATCTTCTTCTGGACATCAAATGAGCTCGCCATATGTTTACCACTAAAATTTACCTTGTACCACATCGATTAAATACAAGGAATTAAATGGCTTTATAAGGCCAACTTAATTATAACAATTAAATCAATTAAGATGGGCCAAGTGGGTTGGGTTTTTGGGCCCATAATCTCATGGCATCATGAGCCACTCTAGCCATTTATTCCAAAATTTGGCTAATTATTGGAGCCACCCCCATGATGTGCCGGGGAGTGGCCACCATATCGCATGTCGCCACCCCCAAGACGTGGTAAGGGGGGTATCCATCATACTGCCACCCGATGTACGTGGTAAGGGGGTGGCCACCATACCGACACTCCATGACATGGTAAGGAGGGTGGACACTACCATCACCCCCATGACAGACCGAAGGGGGTATCGAAGTATAGCCACCCAATGACATGCCGAGGGGGCGGGAGCTATACCAACATCCCCAGGACGTGGTAAGGGGGGTGGCCACCATATGTCCACCCCATGACATGGCAAGGGGTGGGCATTATACGTGCACCCCCAGGACGGGCCAAGAGGGGTGGCCACTATCATCATACCACCCCCAGGATGTGTTAGGGGGTGGGCATCATACCGCCACCCCTAGGACATTGCAAGGGGGTGATGACCGAATTTGGCTAAGGCAAGGAGTATGAGAGCCACCCCCAGGACATGGTAGGGGGCGTGCATCATACCGCCACCCCTAGGAGATGCCGAAGGGGTGTGACCATCGTTTCGTCACCCTCGAGAGGTACCGAGGGGTGGGTATATGGCCCTGGTGAGACGAAAAGAGGAAAAATGTGGCTAAGTATAGAAGATGATGAGGGTGGCAAGGAGCATCCCCATGAGGTGGTCTGTGGACCACCAACATACCACCCCCATGGTATGATCAGGGGGTGAAGGGTCACCAACGCCGGCTCCCATGAGGATGATATAGTGGTGGGGTGATCCATATGACCCCCATGGGGAAGCCCCCAATGGTATGGTGTGAGCACGTGGTCTCTTTACTCTACTAATAGTGAAGTATTTTTTGCCATTTTTAATTCATGTGATTCAAATACTCACCCATATGTGGTACGTGATATTCCTTCATGCCTTAGCCAATTTTACTCTATGGATAAGCAAAACTACGGAGGAGATGCCAAGAGTAGAGGTTGAGGTCTCAAGAGGAGGGGGTCAAGACTGAAGAGGATCTCACTTCCAACATTAGGGTAATCGTCATAGCAGTTGAGAGGGTAACCATCACTCAACGTCAGCAGAGCAGTTTCTTGGGAAGTTACTTCTGATGGCTATAAATAGGAGGTGAAGATGACAGAGAAGGGGTTCTCAAAAATCACAACTCGACACCACTTGTCAAGTTTTATCTTTTTCTCTTTTCCTCTGCAGATTTTAGCCATAGTCGTAGTTTTTGGAGCTCTCACTGAACCTCCATAGGAGTAGGCTAATTTAATGTAGATTTGCCTCGTAGTTCATCAAAACATTGAACACCCTTGTTTGAACTTTGTTCAAAGAGGTGTGAACTGTGTTGTTTGATCGTTTGTTTGGAAGTCAAAGGTGCAAAATCCAATTTTGTTCATCTAGATTTTCTCGTCGGGAAAACACCATGAGTAGCACTCCTTTATAGTTTCCAGTAAGAAATGTTCCATCAACAACCATAACTCCTGGACAATTCTTGAATCCATCTATACAAGGCCCATAAGCTCAGAATACTCGCTGAAAGATCAAGTGACCTACTTGCGATGAAGGAATTCTTACCCAATCAATCACTGATGTTGGCATTTTTCTCATAACCACCCGCAAGAATGTTTGCAAATAATCGTAGGATTCTTCCCAATTTCCATGCAATTTCTCCAATGCTCTTTGTTTCCCATACCAAGCCTTCATGTAAGTAACTTGCACATTGAACTTATCTTTCAACTCGGCCTGCACAATTAGAACCCTCGGATTTTGGTTGGGCACGTACCAAATGTTTAACGGATTCAGATATAACGTCGACATCAAGATGGCAATTATCCGTCGGTTGAGTCGTACTGCTAAAAGAATGCACCAACTCGGCCTTTCTCACAGTCCATTCACCTCCAACATCTCGACATCCAAACCACACCATCCAAGGAATATTGTCATCCTTGTGCTTCAAGCATCTAACCTTCCAGATTGAAGGTGACGACCCCACCACAGCATAGTGAAAGTTGTGTTGTAGTGCGTGGTGTTTAATCGCCACCTGCGCAGCTTGTTTCGAACGAAATATCTGCCCCTTGTAGAATTCTCCTTCAAAACCAGCAACAATAGGCATTGAAATTACGCCATATGAATCAGCATATGATAATTCGTCGTCCTCATCATTACCCTGCAAGTAAAAGAGGATAATTAGGCTGCTCTCCTTCCCCATATTCCTTCTTCTCCTCATCTTCCTCCTCTCCGTCAACATCATCATGATCGGATGACATGCTCCATGTCTCATCTTCTTCCTCTCCACCCCGATCCTCATAGAGCTCAACATGTATCTCAGCACCCAAACAATTAGGGTTTTGTGCCATAAAATTCAAAAGCGCATTCAAGCTATCATCATCCACAATAGGCATCGCATAATGAATTAAAACACCATTCTGCCATTCTGGAAGACAGTAAGTGAAACCGGTGATCATATCACTATCTTGTACTGCTTAGTCTTTATGCCGTATTCTCTGGATTAGATTCTCACAAAGTTTGTGATATGTCACCCTGGATGGAACCGTCAACTGAAAACTTCTACCACTAACGAAATGGACGCTCCAATTGTCCTCTGCTTTCTCCGATTTCCACCGAACGACTAGTTCAAATCTTCTAAAATCACTACATAAAACACAAACAAATTACTAACTTATCAAAATCATAATATCATTTGAAGAATATAATTTTAAAAAATAAATGTGTTTCTTACCTATTAGCCATTTTCCCACAAACCTGGGCCCGTGCATTGAGTTTTATATGATCCTCGCCACAAAAGCACGAGCTTTTGAAATTTTGGGCCAATCAACGGCCTGTAGCTCGGATGGTGAGTCAGCCGGGCCCGTCGGGCCGATGGTCGAATTATATTCTAGACGTTTTGGAGCAGTTAACTGACAGAAAATAGTAACCAGAAAACCTAACGGAAGGACCTAATCCTCAGAGCTGAATAAATGAAGTACTCGAATGATTAAGAATGAAACTTCGAAAACGAGACGAAAACTTAGCCATCGCAGGAAACTTGCAGAGCTGTGTTGGGAAACGAGCTGCCAGACCCTCTTTCTATTCTCCATCTTAACCGCGAGGGAGAGCGACTTGATCGAGAGGGAAATTGACTCCGATGGACGACGGGCCTCCGGCGAACGATTGCTGCTCCATCTGCCATGGAAGATTCAAGGTCCCTTGCCAGGCCAATTGCTCCCACTGGTTTTGCGGTAATCCCCTCTGATTTCCTCCCTATTGTAATTGACTGGTCGCGTTTCGCTTTCCTGTTTGGATTCCGAGATTCAGCGGCAACCTCCAGCACCAGAACTTGCTTCTGATACATACTAGTCCTTCTTCAATTTCTTGTCATTCTCTTCTTTTGAACTGCTGCGCCTGTTCTCTGCCGTCGGTTTCGTTATGATTGCTTGATGATGCGATTGCTTAAAAGTTTTTTGTTGTTCTGTTGATTCCTGCGCTTGGAGGTCTCAATGGCGCTAGCGATTTTCTTCTTGACTTGGACCTGGTATAACCACAATCTTCTCTGTTGTGTGTTTTAGGCGATTGTATCATGCTTGTGTGGCAGCATGGATCTGCAGTTCAGGCGTGCAAGTGTCCACTCTGTCGCCGGTCGATCACATTGCTGGTTCCTAGTCAAGCTGCTCTAAGGGACCGCAATGACACCGAGGTTTCTGAAGTTCTTGTGAAGGTTCAAAGGTACAATCGTCTCTTTGGTGGAGAAACTTCTGGCTTAATCCAGGTGATTACGGTTCCCAGCAATTCTTGTTCTTCAGCCTTGCAAATAATTTTGTAAATTCTGCTATTGATTCTAGAATAGCTGTTGATTATGGACCGTTGAGTACATTTTTCCTGTCTAATGATAGTTGTATGAGTTCATGTCATATGTATATGAGTCAATGCAAATGACCCGAGTTTTGTTGCGGGCTGAAGCTCCCGTCTTAGTTAGGCGGTTTGAAATTCTGGTCCTCTTCTGCTTTACTCCTGAGATAGTAGTTGGAGCTCGGGACAATGCTTATGTTTATCTAGTGCTTAGATGAGTTTATTTTGTGTGTGCAGAGAATGCAAGATCTTCCATTTTTTATCAGGAGGTTGTTCCGAGAGCTAATGGATCCGCAAAGATCACTTCCTCTTGTCATTAGGGCCCGGGTTTATATTGCAGTTAAGTATGCCAACAGCTTTCTGAAGAAGGACCAAGTGATAACTGATTAACAGTCACATGCATGTTTTCTGCACCCTTATCATTGTTTTAGATCTGAACTGTTTTGATGTGTTTTCCCCTATTTATCTTTGGAAAAGTTTGATTGATTTGGGTCTGTTACGGGAGAGTAATTCTCAGACATGGGAAGACAAAGAAGCATCACAAGTCTGTCAGAGAAATCTGTGTTTTGACATTTCAAAGTTCATGCCACCAAAGTCAAACAAACTGAAAAGCGAGTTCTCAATCCTAATCTTTATGGATTTCTGATCCTTGACTACAGGTTCTGTACTTCTAAGATGCAAATTAGGATGTTGTTCACATGAGTGGTGTTAGCAAGCTTTAGAACTGATGACATGTTACTTCTGTGAATTGAAACACAAGCAACTATAGGGGAAGAATGTTCATTTATGTTTGTTGTTCTAGTGTAAACATAGCATGCACGATGGCTAACCATCAAATAGAGTCACTTGAGTTTTATGATCATGTAAGCTGGTCCAAGTAGCACATATCTTGAGAGGATTACATAAGAGACGACCCCCTTTTGCATAGGTTTATTAGGTAAGTTGTTATTGTCGCCTTAGGAAACGGCAAACAGTGTCGGAATTGCTTGTTCTTGATCCACTGTGATGATAATAGTTCTAATTTCTGAATCACTGACTACGCTCAGTTGTGCAATATGGATGGACTCTCATCGTATTTTTTCATGATCCAGGTGATACTAAGCGCACTCTACACTCTCAGTCCTGTAGATATCATTCCAGAAGGTGAGATAAAAATGTCTGCCATATTACATGTTAAGATTGTCTTCAGCAGTAACATTGTTTGTTAACACATTCAATTACGGAATGTAAAATGTGCAGGGATACTGGGCATAGTTGGTCTCCTGGATGATGCTCTTATACTTCTTCTGTGCTTTCTTCATGTTGCCGCCATATATCGGTCCGTGCTCTACTTTCGCCATGGTGGTTCGTGATCCATCAATCAACAGCCATGGCTATAGCCTATATGTGTAAAAGCCAGTGTAGCGGAGATGGCAAGCTCTTGACCAAAACTTGAATGTGAACTTGCAAATCAGGGGTGATATAAAAGTTTTGTACATAGACTTTTACTATTATTTTCTTATAGAGAATTAGCTTGGTGAATCTTCCTTGACACATTTTTTTTAATCGGTCACACTGAATCCAGTATCGGATGGGCAGTAGCTTTTGCTTGTAAGAGGATTTTAGCTCAGTGCATGTTGATTCTTGTCGTCCTTGTTGATTTAATTTAATCGTATTATCAATATCAATTTGCGGTAACACGATGAACTGAAAATTACATCTGTTAGCTTATCATGGCAAACTGATTGCTGGAGTATGCAACGACAAATAGCGGACATGAACTCATATGGTGAGTAACCATCAGTAATTGTAAACTAACCCATTTGGCCGATCCAATCAAACCCGGAAGCGGATCAGGTCAGTAACTTCTATGGTGAGTAACCATTAGTAACCTGTCCACATTCGCATGACATCAGCATCCCCTCTCTCCTGGAAAGTCTTTATCTTTTCCCCTTTAATCTTTTACGGACGATTTCTCTCTCGTTTTAAGTTGAAATTTAAATTTTTTTGCACAGATAAATCAGATTAAATGTGCTCTTTAAAATGATATCCACTTTAATATATTTTTAGTACAAAAAAATTGAATAATTTTTTACCAGTCATTACCATATGGTATGCTCATATTTAATATCATATGGTAAAAAAGCGTATCATGATGGTATGAACATACCAATATGGTAATAAGGTTGATAGTAGGAGTATACTAACTGTCATTTACGACTTTCATCATTATTTACCACAAGTTACCACCCACATACCATAGTGGTAAAGTATGGTAATTTTTTGTCCAGTATTTTTTTCACCCAGAAATTTGTAGATCCAATAGATCATGATGAACTCGTTCCTTCTGAGCAAACGTTTTCAAAAACGACTTAAAAATGAAGAAGTTACCATATGATATGTAGTTGGTAAAAAAAAAGTTTCTCGAAATATATTGAAAATTGATCTCATTTTGTAGAGCACAACGAACTCGTTCCATGTGTGCAAAAATAATTGAAATCCGAGTTAAAACGAAGAAGATAAGAGCCGATTATGAAAACTAGGGAAAATAAAATGCCTTTAATTGATAACCCTTATATCTGAATTTTCTGGGTCCACTTAGATCTAATGGTCCATATTTAGTTACTCATAGGTCAGTAATCATTGGTTACTTACCCTATCCTAAGCCACCAGACCCACCCAAAAATAGGTAAGGGAAAGAAATTTGCAGGCGAGTGAGGCTTTGATTTTGGGTAAATTAATTAATCATTGGTGGGTTAGTATTAGGGGTGGGCATCGGTCGATTCGGTTCAAGACCGGACCAAAATTTCTTCTAAATCAAGAACCAAAGTCGAATCATTATCTTCGATTCGGTCCATATCAAACCATATATGGCTCGATTAGGTCTGGACCATCCCATTGGACCGACTAATCTTTCATTCGAATAAATCACTCGTAAAGGACAACACAAGAATTAAAAAAATGTAACTACATAAAAAGAAGTAAGTAAATTATCCCAATTTAAATACTCCACAATTCTTAAAACCCACATGTTCCAAAATATTATGCAAAAAGCTAAACGAGAACTAATTAACTAAAAGACAGAAGTCTTTTTATTCAATCTTAAAGTAGTCTAACTAATTGCCTCTCTAATCTTCCATTTTTCATTTCCAGAGTGCACGTTGGACCTCCCAATCTCCATAATTTTCACTGTTCATTAGAAAGGAGTTTAACAAAATGAAACTTACTCCAAGAACTAGTGCAATAAAACAAATGATTCTTAAACTTGCTAATTTGCAGTGGTGTTGTCATACTTGGCAGAAGCATCTGTGGTGTCATTTATTCACATCTTCTCCATATCTGAAATATTAAACAAGAAAAAAGAACATAATATAAATACATTGTTCACAGTTTGTAGGTAAAGTAAGCAGCTCTCTTGATCGAAACATTGCAGATGAGAACTCTGATTAGAGGGTAGGACTATAGGAGCTCTCTTGATCGAAACATTGCAGATGAGAACTCTGATTAGAGGGTAGGACTATAGGAGCGGGAGCGGCGAGTCAAAAGTCAGGAAAAGTCAATCATATTCATAGGTAATTAAGTGGCATGAAGGGTATTATGGTTTTCAACTCCAAGTCGACTTTCCTTATGAGAGCCTAATTAAATAGGCAATTAATTTAATTATTATGATTCGTTCAGGTCCTTAGCTTGATTTTACGGTTTCGGTCTGGACCGAACCAAAACCGAAAAATGTCCCAAATTCAGGAACCAAAGTCGAATCAAAAGATAAACAGTTCGATCCGATTCGGTGTGAGAGTCGATTCGGTCCGATTCGATCCGATCTAATGTGAATCGAATCGTTGTCCACCCCAAGTTAGGATTCAAGTGGGTTCAATCCGCAAAACACGACCTTTAATAGATCATACATATAGATACACAATGAAATGAGAGTTTCCAATTCTAGGTTTTGTTACTCTTTCCTCTGGACCGCTGAAATTGAACAACCAGGGCTCTCATTCTTCTCGTCTCTCGTCTCTAGTAATCCTCCGCCTAATTTCATCTCTTCGTAGGGTGGAAAGTCAATTCATCCATCTATCATGTTCTTGCACAAGTAGCACGAGATATACTAGGTATTCATATATCAACCCTCACAATTTACTAAGTGAGTTTACTTTGAGCACTAATCACTAATGCTAAATCTTTAACGCGCAATTTGTTTTTTCTCTCCACTTTTGGAGTGTCTTTTCGTTCCCTCACTGTTCTATCAGTGTGTCGTTTCTTCTTCCCCCGTTCTTGGAGCGTCGCTGATTGTTACTCTCGCCTTCCGTCTCGTTCAGTTTTGTCTCCCTTGTCTGGCTTTCTTAGTCATACCATCTTTTTTCTTTCGCTCCATTTTGCCCGTCTTGTCGACAACGCGATCTTGGTTTTTTGTTTTCTTTGTCGAGTGCCTTTTCGTGTTCCCTGTCCTGGGTTGGTCTGGTTTCTCAGATGGGAACAGGAGATAGTTAATAGACTTTCCAGCATCGAACTAACGGAAGATGAGGAGACTATCATCAGTCTTGAGGAAACAACAGAAACTGAAGGTGTTGAAGAAGTTATTAAGGAACTTGGTTTGGCTGGCAAGCTGGTTTCAGGGAAGCTTCCTCCTGTTAATATCATGAAAATAATTCTTGGTGAGGCCTGGAAACTGAAAAAAGATTTTGAGATTCAAATCACAAGGGACAACATTCTACAACTGCAACTGTTTAGCCATGATGACAAGAGTAAGGTGCTGTTTGGTGGACCGTGGCACCTGGAGGGTCAGCTTCTACTGTTCAAAGAAGTACCTCCAGACCTTGATCTAAAGAGAGTGGATTTCACGAGAGCTGATTTTTGGGTATGTATCCGAGACCTTCCACTGAAACTAAGGAACCAACAGATGGCGGAAAAGATTGGAGAGATGTTTGGGGGCTTTACTAGATGGGATGAACTACATTCTAGATTTAGTAGCGGATTCATGCGTCTAAGGGTAACTATAGATGTAAGAAAACCACTCAGAAGGGTGGTTAAACTGCAAGGAAGGGAAGGACTTGTCTCCTACAAAGTTGGATATGAAAGAATGCCGATATATTGCTTTAGATGCGGGCTGCTAGGTCATCCGAAAAGAGTGTGCGAGAAGAGCCTGGAGTTTCAAAAAGATGATCCAGACCCTTACGGTCCTTGACTAAGAGCTGAATCACCCCTCAGAAGGGTCCCACCGAAGGAAAAGGAGAAAACTAAGAATCTGGCAAAACTATGGGAGGAGGTAAAAGCAGAAAGAGAGAAGAAGGCAAGGGGGGTGGAACCATCAAGCATTCCTGAAAAGCAAAGGGAGTCTCAAGAACACAATATTGAGAATGGACTTCAGGTTCTATCAGTTCATGAAAATGAAAGGGAGGAGCAGCACTATGAACTGGAGGACAGTACCGATAAGACAGAAAAGATCACTGTCCCACAAGCAACCCCCCCTGAGCTTGGACAGTAAGAAAGAGGATTATGTTGAAGAATCTAAAGGAAAGTCAGGTAACGAGAAGATGACCCCCTCCAGGAATTCAGAAGGGAAAAAGTAGAAAAGGAAGGATAGGACGACCTCCCCTACGGAACGACATTCAGAAAATTTTGTGTCGGCAGGGAAAAGGGATTTCTATGATGATATGGAGGTTGATGTGGATGTGTCTCAGGAGAAGAAACAGAAGGCTCAAAATAACCCCTCTTTGGATGGCGATGTGGCGGTCCTTGCAGAAGAACAAGACCGCCGAGCCCAATGAAGATTATAAGCTACAACTGTCGAGGTTTGGGCAGCACCTTGGCAGTTGGCAAGCTCAGAAGACTGGTCAGAAAGCATAACCTGATATTATTTTTCTTATGGAAACTAGGAAAGACGAGGAGGGATGGAAGGAAGTTAGGAAGAAGCTGGATTTCTTTGATGGATGTGTAGTTGCGGCCCGTAATGAAAAGGGCTGGAAAGCGGGGCCTTTGTTTGTTTTGGACGGAGGATGTTTCAGTCTCCCACCTTTCTTCTTCCCTTCACCATATTGATACTGTGGTCAGAAGCGAGCAGGAGGGGACTCAATAGAGGTTGACTGGGTTCTATGGCTGGGCAGAAAGGGGTGAGAGGTTTCGTTCCTGGGAATTACTAAGAAATCTGCGTGGAGTTAATTCCATGTCGTGGGTTAATATTGGGGATTTCAACCAAATTGTGGTAGGGAATGAGAAAAGAGGAGGTAGATTGATAGATGAATCTCAAGCGAATGATTTCAAGGACTCCCTCGAGTTTTGTGGGCTCCTTGATTGTGGATTCGAGGGGATACCCTTTCACTTGGGAAAACAGCAGAGCCAATACTAGTTTTATTGAAGAAAGACTGGACAGATGTGT